ATTGCTATCCAGATATATTTGGTTAATGCCTGCTGTTTATTTCAAAAACAAAATGTTCCATTAAGAAAAATCAATGATAATGGTTGGACTTTATTATCAAGAAATTATACCTGTTATGTAAACCTTGCTAATTATAAGTGCTTGGATTCATTTGGGTGATATAACAGATGAAAAAGGCCATTTATTAGGAGAAGTACTTGGCGTTTGTACCAGCATAATAAAACTAAAATAATAAAACACAACCCAAGGAAAGAAAAAAATGTTAATGAGGAATGGAATTTGCCCAGGAATGAATTATACCAGAAGACAGCATGGAGTGTGAGATTAACACTGAGTGCTTCATCCTGGATATCAATTTCCTATGACACCTCAAACAGCCTGTCCTTGTCTTCTCCTCCTTCCACTTTACTTCTTACTTTTTCTGTCTGAGCTCATGCATGTACATGCTTCAGCTTCTGTTAACTCCTAAGTCTTTGTAAGTTCAGCGCTGACCTCTTGCCCATGGTTCAGTCTGCCCTCTGGCCATCTCTGCCCGGATGTCTCCTAGGAACCTGAACTCTTCGTGTTCAAATAGAGTTTATCTCTCATCCTCTCCTTGAATATCACAGTGACAGCCCTCACTCCTCCCTCCCTCACACCCATATCCAATCAGCCACACCTTTTTGTTTCCAGTTAGAAATTTCTCTCTCAAATCTATATTCTACATTTGCTCCCACTCCTACCACCTTAGTCTGGGCCATCATCACCTTTTGTTTTAATGACTGTAACCTATACATCTAACCAGCAGGCTTATAAGATGTAGTCACTAAAGCAATTTTGTTTTTGTCTTCTATAGTCGTTTATTTTAAAATTGTTCTCTCAACTTTTTCAAATATTTCAAATCAGCAGAAAAGTTGAAATAACAAAACAATAAACACATATGTAAATTTGACCTTCTACATTCATCAGTTGCTAACACTTTGTGAGCTTTCTTTCTCTGTGTGAATTTCTCGCTTTCTCTCGCTTTCCACCACCAGCATCAACCAACAGACATGTGAACACGCCAGATGATTCCACTCCTCAGCTGTTGAGTAACCCTCAGTCTTTGAGGCTTCCTCCTTGAATACACAGCTCTCAGAGGGCAAAGACAAGCCCTCTCTCTGTGCTCTGTTCAAATTTTTGACCCACAGAATCTGTAAGCATAATAAAATGGCTGTTCTATACCATTGAGTTTTAGGGTGTTTGCTATGCAGCAGTAGCAACTGGAACAGCATATAACACTTTTTTTCTGGTTTGATAACAACTCCGTGATTTTTGATAATCTAAAAATGTTTTATAAATGAATCAATTTGAAGACATTTTCTTTATCCTATATCATCAAGGTTGTAATCTGAGAAATATCTCTGTGAAGTCCTTTAATTCAAGCATGCCTGGGTAGTCAGAAGAGCCTGCCTGTCAGGTAATTTCCCTAACAGTCTTTGCATGGAAGACCAACAAACCTTTTGAGAAAGAACTTAACCTGAGCAAAGAGACTCTCTGCTCAAGAAGCTGGTGCCAGGATAATGGTCTAATGTTCCAGGGCTGGTCAACTTTGAGAATAGTTCAGTACCATCACTTGACTTGCCTTCCAGCCCAGCCACCATAGACCTATCCCTGAATCCCACAGAGAGAGGAATTGCAATGCAAGCAAGAGGAAAAGGAAAGAGTGCTTCAGTTGCTCTTCCTTGGGGCCTTGGGAATATAAGTCAACAGGTTCAGCAGCACTGGTATCAACTGCCTTGGCCACATAAGGAGGCAACTGACTTAGGATGTTGGGCATTGGGTGTCCCATCGTTGATTTTGGTGGACTTAGCAGAAAGCCAGAGGAGAGGGGCAAATAGTGCTTGGTATGTAGAAGCTGGGAGGACCATATTCATCCATTTATTAATTCACTCTGTGGTGGGCACTATTAACTGTCCATGACTTATGTTTTTCTTTTCTGTAATAACAAAATTGTAGTTGGCATATGGCTGCCAAGCTATCCTATGTTTTTCAGCTTCCCTTGTAGTTAGGTGTTGTCATGTGGAATGTGATAAGTGATTTGTGCTTCTTGCAATGCTGGGACTTTATACACCCGATATGCATCTTCATGCTCTCTTTCTCCTCTCTACTGGCTGGAATTTATCAACTCAACCTTTGGGTCTCTGAATGACTAATACCATGGGTCTCTGAATGACTATGTGGAGCAAAGCCACCCACTGACATGGAATTGCTCATGACTAATTTTTAGGTAAATAACAAGCTATCTTTTTTCAATCTTTGAATTATTGTTGAGTTTCTTTGTTTTATCATTTTACCCTTAACCTAAATATGCTTATCTATCCAACAAATATTTACTGAACTATATATTAGGTTCTGTGAAAGATGATGAGGATACAATGGCAAGCTTAAAGTTCACCAGGGGAAGCAGACAAAATATAATTACAATTGTGATCCATTTTAAATCTTCTAGAGGAGAGGTGCATGGTGAAATGAGTGTATATAGTCAGGAGAATTGATGCAGTCATGGGCATTAACAAAGTCCTCTGTGAAAAAAATAATTGATTGAAGTCTTCAGGAAGA